TATGATGAAACCTTCAATCCAGTTGTGAAGGCACCAACTATTCCATGCATCTTGACCCCTTCATATATGTTTAATTGAAAACTCCTATCAACTTGATGTGAAAATGCATTTCTTCATGGTGTTTTAAAAGAAAAAGTGTACATGTAACAACCTAAAGGATTTCAAGATCCCTTACGACCACATCATGTCTACAAATTAAAAAAAACGATTTATGGACTCAACCAAGCTCCTTAGGCATGATTTGATAAATTCTGTTGTCTACTCCATAGTATTTGCTTTCGAATGAGTAAGGTTTGACTACCCCGTATTTCTAAAAAGATCATCCTCAGGTATTATCCTCCTTCTAATTCATATGGATGATGCCATTGTTTTTGGAAGTGATATTAAAGGCACTAAACATATTAAGAAAGAATTAAAACTGAAATTTGAGATGAAGGATCTTGGAGAAGTGAAATACTTTTTGGGTATTAAAATTCATCGAACAGAAAAAGGCATTGCTCTCACCCAATATAAGTATATTTTTTATTTATTCTCTAAAACAATGGTATTGGGGTGCGAGCCTATTTCCACCCCGGATAAAGTAAATAGGAAGTTAATGACTGAAAAAAGGGAGTTATTATATAATCCTTCCTTGTACAAAAGTGTCATTGATAGTCATTAATGTATCACATTTACCCGCCCTGATATTGCTTATGTGAATACACTATGTGAGTTCATGTTAGCTCCTCAACATCTTTATTGGGAAGCCATAAAAAGAATTTTGAGGTTATTTAAAGGGTACTGTACATGATGGTCTATTATATACTTCCTCTAGTTCACCTGACCTTAAGGCAGACTCTGATGCTGATTGGGCAAGGTACCCTAATGATCGTAGGTCTATTTCATGATTTTATATCTTCTTAGGAAAGAGTCTAATTTCTTGGAGTAGCAAAAAATACGCATTAATATCAAAATCCAGTATATAGTATTAAGTAGCAAAAATTACTTGGCTTCATATGCTTTTTAAAGAAATTGGAGTTTCTAGAATTAAGCCAACCATTCTACCATGTGATAATCAAAGTGCTATGTGACTAGCCACCAATCTTGTCTTTCATGCTCGCACTAAAAATATAGAAGTTGATTATCACTTCATTAAAACGAAGATTGTATCAGGTGATATTTCCACGGCATTTGTTCCTTCATGACATCATGTTGCTGACATATTTACTAAAACACTAACAAGACCAAGACACTATGAGTTTACCGATAAGCGCTCAATGCACTCGATGTAAGCTCGGCTTGAGGGGGTGTTAAGCCAGAGACTGTCTTTTATAATATTGCACATGGCTTTAGGTCATTGTTTCATTCTTTAGCCTCAGGTTAATTTTGTCTACGATATATATATATATA